GTGTCCTGATGTCAAACCACTTCCGGTCAAATGATGGTGTGTTTGTACATAATAATGATGATTTAATTTACCTTTAGACTTTAAAGGTTTAGTGTGTCAGATTTTGGCTATTGGCAGAAATTGAATAGAAAATAATCCTAGTGATGTTTTCACAAGTGTGTTTCATCTAAATTGTACGATTTGTTGTTTTCTTTACCCCAAAAATCAGCCATTGATAATTAAATGCTTTATATCCTAATACTTTATATTTAAATACTTTTTACATCGGAAGCGGGTCTACTCTACAGAGGACACCATGTTTTTTACAGTAGCCCAGACTGCAACATGCAGCTTCACCACTAGATTTTACTAAATTCTACACTGAACCTTAAGCCTCGTTAATAATCAGACTGCTCGACATGATGAGTTTGCTAAAAGACGTCAGCATCTGATTTCAGATAAGCAGTGTTGTGATGTGTAATGGATGTGAGCATCTTATCTGATGTGTGTTGAGAACAGGGAGGTTCAGAAGGCAGTGAACGCAGCACAGAGCCTCCATCACAGGTGGAGTGAGCTGCTGCAACAGGGGGGTGGAGCCTCCAAAGAGGAAATGGACTGGACGACCAATGAGCTGAGAAACAGTCTGCGCTCCATCGAATGGGACCTGGAGGACCTGGACGAAACTATCAATATCCTTTGATCCGGGGGGGCAACCTTTTTTCTTTCAAGGGCCATCTTAATTTTTATAACATCCTTCGAGGGCCACACTAAATTATTGTTTGTCATTAACACATAAATCACACCAGGGCTCCGGACTAACTTTTTCACATTGGTTGCACTGGTGCACCAAACCTTTTCATTTAGGGGCACCCCTGCTTTAATCAGTGACCTGAAGTGATACAAGGTCCTCTGACCTGAGGTCACCTGATTTATACTGTAAATGTTTGCAGAGGATTTTTTCTTAACAGTCAGTGAAGGCATCGTTGAGTCAAATCCTAAAAAGTTCAACCTGGACACTGGCGAGCTGTCGAAAAGAAAAGCTTTCATCACCAGCACTAGGCACACAGTTAAGGTAAACTCACATTTCTGTGGTCATGCCTGCTGCCAACAGGTCTGATCTGATGGGCTACTGAGTCTGACTGTTTTTCTTTAAGGAAATGAAAGAACAGCTGTCGAGTCCAGCTGCTGCATCTGTGGACAGAACGAAAACACAGGTAATTCACATTCTTACAGGTAACACACCTTACCACAGGAGGCCAGACGGGTGTGAAAGGTTCCTGAGGGTCAGACTGAGGGTATGGAAGGTTCTCCTGTATGGACCATTAGTTGCATCTGACTGTCTGTCCTGTGACATTTAGGCTCTTCTGGCTGAGTGTGGTGCTCGAGGTCCAATGTGGCAGCCTGGTCCTGATAAATACATTCGACTGGATCATCAACTACAGAACGCGAACGCTCAGTTTATTGAGGGGCAGCAGGTGCAGCAGCAGGTACAGTTTCACATGACCTTAACCTAATTACAGAGCTGTGGGTGATGATGTCATGACAGTGTGTGTTGCTTAGATTAATTTAACGTGTTTGTGTTTCAGCTGATATCTGAGCAGCAGGATGAACAGTTGGAACTCGTGTCAGGAACGATCGGAGTCTTGAAGAACATGTCAGAGCGGATCGGGATGGAGCTGGATGAGCAGTCCGTGTAAGAACCATGTTCAGATTCACGTCAGAGGTTCATGTGCCCTGACTTGTTAACTGAAGTTATTTCGTGTTCCTCCTGCATGTTCTGACCTCTGACCCAGTTTGAGGACGTTCTAATACTTAGTGACAACAGTTACAAGGCACCTCATAGCCCCTTTTAGTGGTGGCCGTGGTGCTACTGCCACTGTCAGGCCTGTTTTTAATCTAATTTTATTTATATGTGATGAAACATACAAAGCCGGGCTGGGCAATTAACCGAAAAGGTCACAAGGTAAATCTGTAAACTATCTATTCCCCAAATAAACATTTATTTCACAGGATGAAGCTACTTAAAGGATCAAAGTACTAAAGTATGTGTGGTTCTCCTCCGCTAACACTCCCAGTACATCAGTATCAGTAAGTGTAGTACATGCAGACAGTCTGTGGTACTGAGAGTACTTTGCTCCTACGGGTCAGGTTGGTTCTGTTGGGCTCCAGCAGCTGACAAAGGTTCATCCTCTGAGGAGAATCTAGATCTTTCAGAAACTCCTCAGAGGATCTTGTGGGTCTCTGAAGACCCTGGTCCTCCTCAGAGACTGGAACGATCCACAGCAGCTCCACGATAAGAACATGATGTCATGGTTCAAAGGAGGGGAGTGGTCAGTGGGCGGAGCTTTATACTGTTTGATCTCTTATCTCTATCTTAACCTGGAGCAGGTCAGCTGATCACCATGTTACCATGGTGATTTACCTCAGTAACAAGGGAACAAGCTTCGTAAGACTGATGTTACCCGATCACAAATCCTGCTTCGTAGTACAGACCCTATAATCAAACATCACTAATGATAACAACAATAAAAAAAAGGAAGAAAAAGAAACCAGTGTAAACTGGGTAAAAGTACGTAGAAGTGTAGAAAGTGTAAAAGTGTTTCGTTCTCGTCCCTGCAGGATGTTGGATGACTTCGGTCATGAAATGGACAACACTCAGTCCAGACTGGACAACGTCATGAAGAAACTGGCCAAAGTGTCTCACATGACCAGTGGTAATCTGACCAGCAACACGTGATGTCACGTCTCTGTTTCTATTGGAGCTGCAACAATAGAAAAATAAGAACCATTAGAAATCTGAATAATTCTCTGTGTTTTAAATCTTATCAGTATTGATCAGGTATCAGAAACACTGGAGTTATAA